CACCCACAATCAATCAGATACCGTGCTTCAACGAAATAGTAAACGGTTTCAATCTTCCAGTCCAGTAGGCTCCACCATTCGTACTGGGGCCGTCACATTCCGCGGTGAGAACGGTGACGATGTGAACGAGGATGTCGATTCCGCTGATCAAGCAACAAACCCTCTCTGAGGCGCAGACTGTCCCTACAGCGGGTTTCAACACACCTGATTGGACCGTATGCCAACCGAGCGGGTTTGGACCGAGCCACAAGGATTCTCCGTGAGACTGCCCGAGATTATGTCGACATCCCCGCTGTTAGATTTTTCTCCAGACTTGGCAGGCGATGGTTGGCCCATTTGGGGGCGAAGCTTTGTACGCCGAAATTAATAAAAAATGGCTGGGGGTCTAAGTTAACGTTACGCTTATGGATAGAAAGCCTGGTCTTCCCCTCTCGCCTACGAAGTTGGATTCTGCCATCCTAATGTAGACCTCGTCTGCGAGTCAACACGGATCCGGCAGTTCAGTGGTTATCCGGATCCGGTCATGGATGTCCGCAAACAGCAGTTGTCTGACACGTTGTTGAAAAACGAGGCCATGTCGAGGACCGGCGGTGAGGGGTCGGTGAGAAGATTGAGATCCGCCGCATCCGGCAAATCAGATCGCCCGTCAGTCATAATGTATTACGCCTTATCGTGGTCACAGATGAATGAGACGCAGGTTCGGACTGCAAAATGGTACTGAGATGGAAGATGTTCAATCATCAATCATAATTGATCCGTTTGACGCGTAGGGCGTGACGAGGGCCCCACCGAGTTGACAAGACTTCGCCGGCGCCTCAGATACAAAAGGACCGTCTGTGCTAGTGTCGGACCAAGGGAGGTATCTCATCGCAAAACCCCCCGTAGAGATACGCCTGGCGCTCGAGAGTATTCGAACCCGAACCCGAACAAATGACTTGTCTTCTGCACACGTTATTGAAATATGCAGCATTGTAACCTACTTAGTTAGTAGTGACGTACTAATGGAGCACTTTTGTACAGGTGCCTTACGACAGTCAAAGAGATGGGGCTTAACTTCCGTTTTAGGTCAAGGTATTGCACCATCTCCGCAAGGGCTACCCGCCGAGCTGACCATGTTGCCAACTTGCGCCCTTGCATGTCAATTTCTGGACCTATTGATCAAAGCCAAGCGAACTTGCAGCGTAGGGCGCCGACTGTGAGTTTGCAATATGGAGTCTACTGCTGCGCATCCCGCAGATTTCGGCCACGCAGCTTTTGATCTTTCTCAACCCCCGAACGACATATTCTAGAAGATCAAAGAAATCTTCGCTTCAGTCTCTATCGATCAAGATGGCCCAAGATGTCGGTTCTCATTCGCCGTGAAGAGAGCCTCTTACTGACATTATCTAGCTCGTTAGAGTCGCCAGCCTGATTGAAGGCGTTGAGATGCACGTACGCTCAAGTAACGACAATGGTTCCGTCAGGCGCAACGTCGACAGTCTTGGCCTGGACCAGTCCCTCATGGACATCGAAAACGGCGTCGTCGGCTGGGAGGGCGAGAACGACCCCAAGTACCCTCCAAACTTTACTTCCACTCGCAAATGGCTCATCACCGCCCTCCTCTCTACTCTGGCCTTCATGACGCCGTTTGCGTCGTCAATCATAGCACCTGCCATCGGATACATTGCCGACGACTTTGGCGTCCCTGATATTACGAAGAGCGCCATGCCCGTGAGCATCTTTCTCCTTGGGTACGCCGTCGGGCCTCTCTTTCTATCACCCCTGTCGGAGATCTACGGCCGTAGAATTGTCATGATGGCCTCTAATCTCGTCTTTTGCCTCTTCCTTGCTGCCTGCGCGCTGTCCCCCTCGATTGACCTCCTCATATTCTTCCGCTTCATGTGTGGAGTTGGAGGTTCTGCCTCGCAGACCGTCGGAGGAGCCGTCATCGCCGATTTATTCGCGGTTGCTGAGCGTGGAAACGCTATGACTATATGGATCCTAGGTCCGATCCTGGGACCCTCGTTGGCGCCGCTAATCGGCGGTTTCGTGGCTGAGTCGATCGGTTGGCGATGGGCTAATTGGATTACACTCATTCCTGCTTTGGTGCTTCTGGTCGCCATGGTGTTTGTGTACCCCGAAACTCATCACGAGGTACTTATTCAGCAGAAGACGAGGAGATTGGCCAAGGCCCTTGATCGGCCGGACCTGTGTAGCTGTTACGCAGATGCGGCAGAAAGGGCTGCCAGCAGCACCGACATCCTCCTATCTGGGCTTGTTCGACCGCTCAAGTTGCTGTTCCGCTCGACAATTATCTTTGGAGTGTCCCTATATGTGGCTTTTGGCTACGGATGCCTCTACCTGCTGTTCAACACAATCCCTATTGTTTTCCGCGGCAGTTACAATTGGTCAGCAGGCATCTCGGGCATCGTCTATCTAGCACTTCTTTTCGGATATCTCATAGGCCTTTTAGCCTTCTCCCTCCTTTCGAATAAGACGGTCAGTCATATGACTGCCGCAAACGGGGGCGTTTACGAGGCCGAGATGCGGCTTTATTTCTGCATTTACTTTGCCGTTCTTCTTCCAATCTCGTTCTTCTGGTACGGCTGGAGTAGCGACCAAGCTGTCCACTGGGCTGTGCCAATTCTGGGACTCGCTCTCTTTGGGATAGGCTTCGAGGGCATTTGGCTACCTACTCAGCTCTACATTGTTGATGGGTACTCTCGCTATGCCGCCAGTGCCCTTGCTGCCTTTTCTGTGATGAGGAGTGTAGTTGCCGCATTCCTCCCTCTGGCTGGGCCGGCAATGTATGAGAGGCTGGGTGTTGGCTGGGGCAACTCCGTCTTGGGTTACATATCTTTAGCCATGGTTCCTATCCCGGCGCTGATATACAAATTTGGAGGGAGGATGAGAAAGAATGAGAAGCTCAGGCTTTGAGTGACTGCACATGCGAGCATGGGGCGGATTAGTCAGGGCAGCAGTGATCAATCGAACAGTGTGGCCCCATACACCAGGAAGTCTCAAACTCTGTGCTGAGCAGGCGCACCAAGTTTTTGTCGTTACTGCCCAGCAATTGAAGGTACTTATGGGTAGTGATGCTTGTTTCTTGGATATATGAGGCCGCTTGAGCGAGTGCGAGTGGCAGACGCTTTAGTTGAATCGATAGCTCGGACAACTCCGCTGGGGTCGCATCGTCGCATTCGAGCATGGTGCGAATCAAGCATACTTATTCTTCCTCGCTTAGGCAGCACTGAAGGAGCATGCGTGCAGCCGGGAAAGCGAGGGGCGTCAGTTCCGAAAGCCGCTCTCTGCCATATGGAAACGGGTGGCCGTGGCAGCAGACCTCTTCCCTCCCGTGGACGAGCCGGTGGCGGAGAGCCAGACGGAAGAGGCGGGGCGAGGCCAGAACAGAACGCGGCAGTTCCTGATGAGGGTCACGAATCGCGTATTCACCGACCGGTCGCTGTCGCAGGTCGAAGTCATCGCCCATCTGCTGGGGTATCCAGACGAATTCACGAGCAATCATGGCTGGACGTTTCTAAACGTGTCTTCTCTCTACTGGCACATCTTTCGTCGGTGGTGGCATTTGCAACATCAGAGCGGCCTGCAGATGACGGACGAGCAGGTCGAGGAGACGGTTCTCCTGGAAGAGGCCGGAGAAAGAATCTCTTTTGTGCAAGCATACCCGCACCGCGGCGGACTGCTGAAGGGCTGTCGCTCTACGACTACATGTCCGTGGTAAAGCTGAAACGAAAGGGGAAGGACGCAGGCGCTTGGGGGGAGGTGCGGTTCGACCAGTCGTGGCCCCTCTCCCAGATCTGGGTGCAGGTGCTGCGAAAGCCCGGCGAGCACGCTGTTGTCTGTTTCGACGGTCACTTGAGTACGGACTTTGCTGAGGAAGGTGTGACGTTGCTACGATAGGGCCGCAGTCCAGCATCTCGCGATCTTTGTGCCGTGGGAATCGTTTTTGCCCGAGATAGCAGGGGACGTGAACACCATCTGGGAGAGGCAGAGGGGCGCTGCCTCGCAGGATACGTTTCTTCGCTGATAATATCCAACTCCTTCATCGTTCGGCGGAAGACGCGAGACGTGATGCCAAGCAGTGGGCCGCTCAGTCTGGGGACGGCGATCCCACGTCCGAGACGATTGGGCCGGATATGGGCGACGGTGACGAGGGACGGGCAGCGGTGTTCCGGTCAGACGGACTTTCCAACACAACACGCCTCATGGACGTCTTGAGGGTGGCGATGGGAGCCGGCCAGATCACGGCCGGGTCGAAGGAGATCTCGGCAATGATACGGCAGCTGGGCCGGTTCCACGAGGCAGCAGGCAGCTCAGAAGGCGGGCTGTGCGATGCGATGATGAATGAGTCGGGCCTGAGAGAGGTGCCGGACATCCCGGAGGGGCCGCTTCTGAAGGGGGATGTACCAGAACAGGGGTTGATCAGGTCCATCAAGTCGCAGCAAAGGAGCGTATCCAAAGAGAAGGAAAGAATGATCCAGGGAATACAAAGCCGGCCTGACGGCGACACAACAAGTGACGGCCTGGCCGCGCAATGTGGGCAGCATGGGCTCGGCGCGCGGGCTGCGGATCTGATGACGGACGATTCGGAGGCCCCAGTCCGGGGCGGGGGTCCCGCGACGAGCATCCGCTTCGGCCCCTCCACATCATTCTCCGAGGCAGGGCGGCAGCTAGCCGAGCTGTTCACACTCAACAGGGGGCAGGGCATCGCGGTCCGGCTGATATGCCATCAACTCGACAGAGTACGTCGTGACGAGCGAGAGACGCCGCAGCTCTGCCAATTCGTCGGGGGCGAGGGCGGCACGGGGAAATCGCGAGTCATTGAGGCAATCGCCGCGCTGTTCGCTAGTAAGGGAATCTCGCACCGCCTGCTACTGACGGCGAAGTCGGGAACGGCCGCGGCGAGTATTAACGGGATCACCATCCACTCCGCATGTGGGTTCTCCAAAGATGCGACAGTGCGGTCCCGCCGAGCGGAGCCGGACGGCTTTGTGGCCTCCAGCTCGGCCGGCCTGCGTGTCGACGGCAAGACCACTGCCGAGTGGCAGGAGAAGTGGCTGCTGATCATAGACGAGGTCAGCATGTTGGGGGCGAGAACACTGTACGCCGTAAACGAGCGGCTCTGCCAGCTCCGAGAGTCCGCCCGCGACTTCGGCGGCATCCCGATCGTCCTCTTCTGCGGGGACTTTCACCAGTTCCGCCCTGTGCAGGAGAGGTCGATCCTGCTCCCGAGCACGGCCATTGCATGGGACGAAGATCAATCGTTCCGAGCTGAGCAGAGGTACCAGCACGACAGGGCGCACGCGCTGTGGAACAAGTTCACGGTGGTGGTCATGCTGAGCGAACAAGTCCGCGCCGCCGGCGATCGAGAACTTCAACGGCTGCTGATGCGGGTGCGCCAGGGAGTACAGGACCAGTCGGACCTGGACTTTTTGAACAGCAGGTGCTACCGCAAGAACAGGCCAATCCCTTGGGAGTCTGGAGTCACGGTGGTGACGCCCTTGAACAGGAACCGATGGAATCTGAACGTCGAGGAAGCGCTCTGCTTCCAGAAGGCGAGGGAAAGCGCAGCTACGCATCTTCATATCCGAGCACAGATGGAAGGACGGTGAGCCGACAGAAGAAGAGGCGGTCATGATCCTCAACCAGGGCGACGACAGCAGCATACCGGTGCCTGGCGTCTTTATCTTTGTTCCCGGCATGCCCATTGTCGTCAACCAGAACACCCACATGGGCTTGAAGCTGGTCAACGGAGCGAGCTACGCGGCCGTGGACGTCATCCTCGACAAGGCGTATCCTGGCCATCGCATCGGTGCCGGCGCCGTCGTCCATTTCGGCCCTCTAGCGGGCCTCGTGCTGGCGTCGGAGACGACTAGAGACCTCCGCTTCGTCGGTATGCCGCCCGGGACGATTCTCCTCACGCCTCTGAGCATCAAAATAGAACGCCAGAGGAAGCGGCCGTGGCAGACGACCGATGCCAGTCGGCGGGGGCTGCCATGCGCCGCGGCCTTCGCTTGTACGGACTACAAAGTCCAAAGCAAAACGTTGGACCGAGTTGCACTCGAACTGCGTGGGACCAGGACGACGACCATCAATGGACAGGCCATTCCCACTCAATGCGATCCATACAGCCTATACGTCCAGCTGTCGCGGTGCAAGTCGTTGGACGGTATCATGCTCCTGTCAGAGGCGCGAGAGAGGGACTTCGTAGGCAACACGGTGCCCGAAAACATGGTCGCAGCGGAGGAGAGGTTGGAGAGGTTGAGCGATGCGACGATTAGAGAAGCCGAATCGTGGGATAGGTGGGGATAGGAAAAAAGCTGCCGTGTCGTGATGGCCCCCTCCCCGGCCCCCCGCCCCCGGGATTGGTCGGTGCCACCAGCCATGACGATTAGTGATCGCATCAACTTTGGGGACGGCAGATTTGGTCAGGTGCTGAAGCACGGGATTTAAGGGCGCAAGTTTGATTGGATGAGTCAGGTGACTTTGAGGCCCGGGAAAAGATGGCGGCATAAAACCCTTTTCGTCTCTCCGCTCCGCTTCGTTCCTCAAGGCATATGGTTCAACATGCTGTTCTGAACGTACGTATTATCATCTAACTATCAACGTCTCGTTACCGGATCACTTATACTCCAGAGCATCCTTAACGGTCAAGGGCTTGAGGCCAGGCAGGACCTTTGAGGGAGTCAGGTCGAAAGCACCCAAGGCGAACCACTGCCCAAAAGTGATGCAAAATCCCTGGAAAACCTCCTTCGGAACAAATTGGTACGCGGCAACCTGACTCGGCAGCTCCGTGACCTTGCCGTTCTTGAGGTCCTCTAGGGTGTCGTACCTCACGTCGAATTTGGCGCCTGACACGGCGTTAGCAGAGATTCACACCACGAGGTGATAAACGACTTGCCGTGGGCAGCTTCAGCCAGTCTCACAAACTCGTTCCAGGTCACCTTGTCACCAACAATGGTCGAGTCGGCGTCCCACTCCTCAGCATCCAGGAGGACAGTGACGTACTCGGCGACGTCAGAGGTGTGAGTGAAGGCGACGGGGGTGTTTCCATCGCCCGGAATGGCTGCGACCTTGTGCGCTACGTCGACGATAAGAGAGAAGGGCGACATTTCTGTAGACTTGGTGGTCCAGTAATCGAGTAACATGCCGTTGTGGACAATGGTGTACTCAAGATCCTTGGTCTCCTCCAGAGCCCTTGCGGCATTAAGCTTGTGGGGCACAGAGACAAGTTGGCTGGCTTGGCTTTGCGCTATGTCAGTACGACTCATTACGGATGGATAAACCCACTCTTTGGTGTGAGGGATGCCCCAGCCGCTGGCGATGAATCTCTTGGTGGTCTTGGAGGCGTCAGCGGCGCGGATTAGCTCCACTTCGGGAGGGGCGTCGCCAAAGACGAGCATGGCGATGGCAGAGACAACCGTGTGAATATTGTTGTCTTCGAGGATCTTGGTCGTTGCCACAATGTCGGTGTAGTCAACGGGGATGATGGCGGCTCCTAGTGTCTTCTCGAGATCGGGGTTGGCCTTGAGATTGGGTTAGTCTGTAATCACGAATCACGCATTCAACCCCAGGCCGTCCGGGTTCCGAGTACATGCCTTTCTGCCAAGGATCCTAACTTCGTGCTTGCCGTTGGCGACGATGGCCTTGACCAAAGTGCGGCCAAGGTTGCCAGTGCCTCCTGCGACAGCGATGATGGCCATGATGCTGGACTGAGATGTTCGGAGAAGAAAAGATGGTATGGACGAATGGAGGATGAGCAATGATTCGGGCTTGGCTTTTTGACAACTTCTGAGTTTTCTAAGAGAGAATGTGCGATGAATTTATGAAGGACTTGAAAACGACACAGGGTCAATCGATCTTTATATTCGTCATGTTTCCGCTGACTTGGACAACGTTAGCGCTATCGGCTACTTTGGAAGGTTCATGCACCCCAAGGTGCATGAACTTGCCATTGGTCGGCTTCGTAAGCCAGCTGGCTTGCGGAGCGGACTTTGGCCGTTTCTCCCGGCATCCTCTTCTTGTGCCCATTGGCCCCCCAATGAAGGTCGCTTCCGCGGAGACATTTCACGAAAATTATGGCCGAATTGTTCCCAATCACAGGCGATGTGAGTTCCACTAAAGTTCCCTAACATGTCAGACTGATAGATGTGTTGGATGGATGTCACTTCATGATGGGGTTGTGTTAATCGGGAGGTCGGCCCCACGGACCAGTCTCCAAGACGACGTCTCAACCTCAACATGTCAGATCTCAAGGATTCGCGGCCCGTTTTTTTTCTGAACTTACCCATCCCATCGTACAGCATCGGACTCATATGTAGCCGACAGCTGCGCTTTCTGACGACTGAGTGGGCCAGACCCGGTGAGCCTAGCTCCATATCCATCGCTAAGTCGGCTATGGCCGTGGAGGAGAGCTCGGGACTCGGTTGCGACTCCATATTTGCGCCATTTCAGTCGCCGTCTACCAGGTATGGCAACCTATTCGGCTTTAATCTCTGTAGTGAGCCCTTCGCCGGTGGTCGAGGCGGTCGCATGATGTCGCAGTATCACATCGTTAAGGCGTAGGCGTTTAGTTAGTGGGATGTCGAAGGAGGACCCTTCTCTATTGAGGACGTACGTTACCGCGCCAATCACCTAGCAGAGATATCCTTACTAAGCGGAGTGTGAGATGATATCTACTATGTCCTCGTATTGCGCCTTGCCAGTAGTGCACCAATACGTCCAGATGTGTTAGGGTGGTGGGTCATCGAGCCTGGCATTTATAATCAAGCGCGCGCGGGACTTCGACCCCGGCATTTATGATCAAGCTTTTACTTTGCCGCCAAAGACACTCCACCGGACTGCACTAAAAGCACCGAAACAGCTGAACTATGAGCAAGTATTGTGTTGAGTGTCCAGTCCGACCAGGTGACCCACCAGAGCTAGATCAAACTGTAACATATCACACGGCACAAAGTTGGTCCGCCAGTCCATTGTTGACTCTCGGCCTCGGGATGAGGTCTAACATTACATAATAGCTTGTGGTTTGTGCATCCGTATCAAGCCCGTCAAGGTGCGCAGTCACGCAAAACCACATGGTATTGCAAGACTTGGGTCCCCATCTCACCACAGAACTACATATAACAGGACAGTATATCCCATTGAGTCACCGAGCGGATATCACTACCGCAACAGTCTTTGACCTGCTCTCTCCACTAGTTCCTGCCAATCCCGAATCAACACCCCATTACATCACCATGGCACCCAACCAAAGGATTATTCTCGTCACTGGTGAGAACCGTCTTCGGCAAGGGCTATTTTTCTGTTGGCTTACTCTTGGCTTTCCCAGGCGCCAACTCCGGCATCGGCTATGACACCTCCTACGCCCTCGCCAAAACCTCGCCAGGCAATCACGTCATCATGGGCGCCCGTTCCAGTGTCAAGGAAGGGTCTTGCAGCTCTCGCCGAGATCCAGGCCCGCAAGCCTGCCGGCACACTCAGCTTCCTCGAGCTCGACATAACCTCCGACGAGTCCATCCAAGCTGCCGCGCAGAAAGTGACGTCCGACTATGGCGTCCTTGACGTACTCGTCAACAACGCTGGCATCTCCGGCAAGGACGAAGTCTCGCGCGAGAACTTCCACACCGTCTTCGACACTAACGTTATCGGCACCATGCTGCTGTCCCAGGCCCTAGAGCCTCTGCTGCGGAAGTCCCTCCATCCTCGGATCATCAACGTCTCCTCGATTCTTGGCTCCATCTCGCTGCGGAACGATCACTTGTCGGCATACACCCAGGTCACGGGTGAGATGTATCGCGTCAGCAAGGCGGCGCTGAACATGGTGACCGGGATTCAGGCCTATCAGTATAAGAAATGGGAGCAACCAGCGAAGGTGTGGTCATTTTGCCCTGGGTTCGTGGTCACCAACTTGACCGGGGAGGAGGATAGGCAGAACAGAATCAACCAGGGGGCAGAGCCATCGGAGACGAGTGCCCAGGGCATAGCGGAGATTGTCAGTGGTGATAGGGACGCCGAGGTGAACCAGTTCTTGGCCAAGCGAGGCGAGGTCTTGCCGTGGTAGTTCTAGGGTCGTTCAAGGCCGGTGTGGGTGGACAAGTCAGCTACAACGAATATGAATGAATCTGTGATTACCTTTTTTCTTTTGATGTGATACGGTCGTCGTGATATTTCCCTGAGAGATTTTTGCCGAGCAGCCGACGCGACACTGCCGGGTGGCGTTTCATGTTTAGACTGTTATTTATGTAGGGCCTCAACTTCACCCGGAACCACGGCCACTCAGGCATTTGACACGCCTTACGCCAGACTTGGCCAAAATGGCGACTGAAGCTCGCAGATGACTTTCTCATTGGACTAGAGCCCCTCTGCTGTACACGAAAATACATTCAGCACGGCGCTCAAGCGGTAGGACTTCACATTCGAATTAACTGATGCGGTCAGCCAGAAACCCTACCGAACCACAACTTAACAGGGGTCTATCTCGGACGACAGTTCAGAGCTGTCTCGGTGCCTCTGGCTCAGCATTAGAGCGATGGCATGTTCAAGGAGGTCACCATGGCGATGCATCACAGTGGTATGTCGGGCGCCGTAACGGATTCAGAGGGTTAAAGCGTAGGTAAGATATTGTTGCATGTTGATGAAACCATTATCTATTACTAAACCTAAGGCGCAGAGAAGATCGAGCTCTGACCGACTACACCCTAGGTTGGCCTGAAAGTGTCAGCCTTCACGGAATGGGCCCACTTGGCGCATCTTCGGTGGGAAGACCGACGCCGCGTTTGAATTCTACCAGCCATGCAGGATTGTCTGCAGGCGTCTGGTTCCAGGGGTCATCTCTAGCGAGAGAAGACGATTAGTTGCGTCGCTCATTTATGGGAAGGATTTGTAGACCTACTCGTCATACCACATCCACCGCGCTTGATATTGCAGCTCCTGGTCGGTCGGGATGTGCCTATTCGGATTGTTTGGTGACATGGTCGTCGTGACGAACCGAGCAAGCCCCGCAGCGAGCCTCGTATAGCTGTTGTGGTCGATTAGGAGAAACGGCACCTTTCTGTTTTGTTGGAGCTGTGATGGTTCGATATTTGCACTCGTCGGCAGGAGGCGTTGGTGCACGCTGGGGCCGTTCGTGGTGCTGCGTTGCGGAGTCGGCACGAGTGAATCCCCCATGTTCATTCCTGGCAGCGTCATGGGGCTGAATGTCATTATTTGGTCTTTCTGGCCCACGATATGGTTGCCTTGGAGTTGCTGAGGGAAAGTTTGCTGGCTTGGTGTCCCAGGACCCACATCGGTGATGATGGGCATGGCGGTTTGATCAAGTCCCTTGCCCCGATCCTGTGTGAACAGCAGCCTCCTCCGTTCTCTGAACAGCCCGAGCCAGTCAGTTGTACTCCAAATTTGCCGCAAGATGAAGTCTGCAAAGTTCTTGGACGGTCTAGGCGAGAAAGCCTCGACGTAGGATATGATGTTGGCCGCCTCTTCCTGCAGTTGGTAGTCGGACATTTCCACACCCACAGAACTATGCATCGTGACAAGCCTACACAATTCTAGCTCAAGGTCACAATCATCGAAGATGCTCTCTTTTCCATTGATCTTCAGCTGGCTGAGCCGGGATTTCGAAATCTGCTGCAGGGGAAGTAGCCGGGCCTCCTGCGACTTTTCTGAGCACAGGAATATGTCCCGCAGCCATGACGGTGTCGAGGATGCCGGCTGAGAGGATATATTGTCAGCACCAAAAATAATGGAGCATCCATCGTACAACAGTTCGCCGTCCAAGGGTAGCATCCCGCGCGTGTCGAGGCAGTCTTGAGTAAAGTACTCCAGCTCCAGCTTGATAAGCTCGTATGCACTGGGCGGTGTATCGGGTGAGCCCCTCATGGAAGAAATGGGAAGAGGAGATATGCGCTCGTAATGAATGAGATCTGGCGGTGGTCAGTACAACTCCACGGGTCGAAAGGGTGCGTGTAACTCACAAGGAGGCATTTCATTGTCCACGATTTCGAGAATCTCCGCATCGAACCCCCAGTCCCCTTTCCACTCAGCCATGGTGCAGCCAGACTTGAAATGCTCGGCCAAGTGATCTATCCGGCAGGTCCAGGTCTCCAGCTGCCGATCGCAGAAGCCGCACCGAGACCTGATCTCGCGGCCGGCAGCCTTCCACTGCTCCATCGGCCAGGCCATAAAATTGGACTTGTGCACCAGTTTCAAGTGCTGGCGGAGGTGATCCTTGCGGTAAAAGGACCGGTGTGTAATGGCGCGCTCCTGGCAATCCGAGTGGTGATGAGTCTCGACGTGGGATTGCCCGGGCTCGGCCGCGCCGCAGTAGACGCAGACCTGGAGTCCTAGGTCCGGATGCAGTGCAGTCGGCCCTGTTGGCGAGCAGACCCATTTCTCGAGGGAGAGGTGAAGTGATTTTTCGTGTCGTTGCCAGTCGTATTTGTGCTTGAAGGTCTCGATGCAGAACGTGCACTGATACGTATGGCACTGCTGGAGCAGGTTCGTCCGGGGTGTTGCCTGGCGCCGCGGGATCCTCCGTCGCTTCTTCCGACTTGCTTTCAGGGTGCCGAGTGACTTTGCGAGGCTGTCTGTGTGATTTGAAGAGCCTGACCCGCGGCTTGATTGGGAGATGCCGGCGCTACTCACAGAGGAGGCGTCACTTGATGAAAAGTCGGACCCGCGCAGGTAGTATGGAGTGGCAGGTGATGCCGGGGTGGCGGCCACGATGCGAGAGATGTCAGAGACACTGGCCGGCTCGTGCTCAGGTGGCGAATTCTCCCACCTCTCCAGGGGATTCATGGACTCAAATGGAGAAGGAGTGGGCCGCCTTCGAGGTATATCGACAGGCGGTTGCCCACTGAAGGTATTTTCAGTCAAGGCTCGACCAAGCCGGGAGGATACAGGAGGTGTGTGGAATTTGTATCGCCGGCGGGCGTTGGACAGCCAATTGTTCACTTGTTGCTTAGTGAGTCCCGTCCGGCCCTGTATCACCTCCACATCGTGAGCCGAGGCATACGGGTGCGATTCGTGGTCTTTCAGCCATTGCCGCAAAATCCTGACGGATTCCGAGGAGAAGCGGTTCGCGACGTTGGAGGCTGTCGACTTGGCCGTGCGGCTCTGAGCGTGGCCCGGCCCGGGGGTCGACGAACTAGTGGAGGGCTCGTAGGGGCTCATCGGTGTCGGATGAGCCGTATCTCTTACGCCGTCGAAGCTGTCGCCAGTCTCGTTGTCCCGGGATCCCCAGGAAGCCAAGTCATCCAAGGCGGGGTCCAGGGTTGAGGCGTCGTTGGAAAACGAGGCCTTGTCGAGGACTGGCGGTGAGGGGTCGGTGAGAAGATTGAGATCCGCCGCATCCGGTAAATCAGATCGCCCGTCAGTCATAATGTTTTACGCTTTATCGTGGTCGCAGATGAATGAGACGCAGGTTCGGCCTGCGTCAATGGTGCTGAGATGGAAGGTGTTCAATCATAATTGATCCCTTTGACGCGTAGGGCGTGGGGAGGGCCCCACCGACTTGTCGGCGCCTCAGATACAAAAGGACGGACCGTCTGTGCTAGCGTCGGACCAAGCGAGGTATCTCATCGCAAAACTCCCCGTAGAGATACGCCTGGCGCTCGAGAGTCTTCGAACCCGAACAAACGACTGATCTTCTGCACACATCATTCAAATTTGCAGCATAACTACCTACATCATGGCGTACGAGTTTCGACCAGCCACATTGGCCGATGCCGCCGGCATTGCACGGCAGGGCGTCTTCGTCTTTGAGAAAACATTTGGGCACGCGGTCCTTTCTCATGATTTGGAGGAATATCTTGGCTCGACCCACACGCCGTCTGCTATTTCTGCAGAGATCGAAAACAGCGAGAGAAATATATTCGTGGTGGTCGACTAAGAGAGCAACATCCGCGGTTTCTCGAGGCGCTTCAGACGACAAAACCCTGCGTCGAAGCAATCGAAGGCACAGTGGAACTCCAGCGGATTTATGTGGACACAAACATTCATAGACGCGGTGTTGGTTGAGGACTCCTCCGGTGTATCGAGAAGGCGGCCGTGGGATATGGTTATTGAAGCATATGGCTGAGCGCTTACTCGAAGAACAAGCCTACTCGGAATGCCTATGAGAGGGGGGGGTTCAATAAGTCGGCGACGACTACTTTATTATGGGAAAAACGGTCCACTAGGATATCATCATGCTGAAGCCACTCGAGGCGTAGGCACCACTAAGGCCAGTGGACGGGGGGTCACAAACATAAGGGTCTTGAACAATTCTCGGTCGCCATTGATTCAGCAGCAGAAATATACAGCGATACAAGCGTTATGGTTTCAACAAGGATCGTCGTACATATACTTGAGAAGGGCAAAGGCGTGTGGTGTGCGCACATTCACGAGATCCTGATCAGCCGTCCTCGGGCAGTTCAATTCTTACTTCCATGCCTAAAAAGACTTGAACAGCCGTGGGAAAGCTCAAGAACCCCTGATATTGTACACCAATCGATTGTCCTCCCACTTCCACATCCCGCGAGACGTTCGGGGGCGGAGCAAGCCCCTAGCTCGGCATACGGAGGAGGCTGAGTTTTTAGGTAAAAGCCGCGGATGTCCATTGCGTGATCAGGAATATCTGAGTTGATAGCAGATGCCGGGCAGGACCGGACGACCTTGGCCATGGATTGATGGGTGGGTCTCGACATCACGGCTCGTTGGAAGGCGCCAAGGCGGTGGGCCATGGTGTTGAAGTCGTCGCTGACAAAGACGATGTACAGGAAGCCCATAACGATGGTGATGGCGACGACGCGCGCGATGATGAGAGCGACCGCCCTGCCGTTGACGTTCTCGAGGTTGGGCCTGAGCTAGTTGCTGCGCCTCCTCCGCCTCGTCCTCTCGTTATCGGTGTCGTCGTCGTCGCCTGCTGCTACCGTGTCTCCAGGGCCGGACGGCAGCCGCCACCTCCACGCCCGCGGTAACTATAAAGAAAAGGGCACCCGCTTGCCCCATATTGATCTCGAGCCGTGGTCGGGCTCGCCAATTTCCAGCTCCTGCATCTCCCTACGCACCTACATCTCGTCACCGTCGTCATCGCTGCTCAGGAGGCCGTCCTCGTCGTCCGACTCGACCGTCGGTTGCCAATACCGATTATTTCGCCGCAAACAAGGAGGAAGACTCGTGGGGGTGTGAGAAGAGGAGGGACTGGGTCTCGGACTGGTCGCGGTCGTCGGCGGGGGATGGCGGAGTCCAGTTGGCAGGGCCGCCACCGGCAATGGCCTCGTCGTAGCTAGGGATGGGGGCCACATCGTAGCGGTGGCCCCGGTCGTTGTGCATGGTGGGTGGTAGGTAAGGTCGCCTACCTGTCGGTGTCGTTCGTCTAGGAGGGTCAAGGGAGTGTCAGGAAGTAATCCAAGCTATGCAGCCATTAAAAAGATCGACTAGGATGGGCGAGTAATGGCCTGGGCGGAAGAAGAGGCGGATGGGGATGGGCGAGGCGAAGGAAAGAAAGGTCGCCGCGGGGCCCGTGACGGCGGGAATCGAAGGGGCCGGCGCGGATATCAGGAAATAAAAGACATGAACAGGCCGAGCGAAACAAGCCGATGTGGTGTAAGTATGCTGGCGACAGGCGACTGATGCCAGGGTGCGGGTGGTAAAGGAAGTGGTGATTGCTGGTTGTCGACTCGAACTCGACTCAGCTCGACTGGACAGTGTAATGTTCCGGCGGCCGAATGGCGTGTCTTTGTCGCCTGCGAGCGACTTGCCTCTGCGAATCATTCTGACATGCGGCGCCACTTTTGATTAGGCGAGCGTGGGGTGAGGACTTGGCATCACTTAATTAGTATGTGGAAGTACCTGGCTTAGGTTCTTTAGCTTATACATCTCCATGGACTCATATTTTCACATTCATTCCCCTTCGTATACATGATGCTGTACAAGGTAAGGACTTGGAAGTGTATGCGTGGTTGCGAGTACGAGGCATCAGAGTGAACATTTGGTGCACGCTCATCCCACGGCTAGCAATGTATCACCAGCATGACTCGTGTTCAAGGGCCCTGTCTTCAACTGATGATGCATTGATGCCAGCTACTCAGGTACCTACACGTAAGGTACCTACTTCTAGTTGTACACTCAAACTTCATACCGGTGTCTGCCCTGCTCATCAACACCAAGCACCTTCACCTCGCTTCCATCAGATCTCCCGGCGGTAGTACCACCACAAAGCTCTGCCACTGCGCCTTGACCTCGCGAACCTCACCCGGATCCCAGCCACAGTCGCCGTGTATCCGATCGTGTGCGACGACACTTTATTCTTCGTCACGACCATGACGCCGTCGTCCTCGTACCACGTCGTCTCGTTGCCACCTGCCGCCCCTGGGGCGCCCGGCAGCGGGAAGACCTCGACCGCGCGGTAGTCGTCCAGCGGCAGGTTCGCCACGTTGTCCTTCTCGGCGAGAGCACCTGCACGTCGCGGCCCACGGGTACCGCGCCGCCCACCTTACCGAGCACCGGGATGCCGGCGCCGTGCCACTCTGCGTCGACGTCGACCCACTGCCCCGCGGCGAGGTGCTGGAAGGGCGCGTAGGTACGCGCGCGCCTTGCTGGCGTCGGGCTCGTACACGCCGCCGACGAGCAGCGAGTCGCCCAGGAAGTACTATGTCTCGCCGTCCGTCAGCAGGCTGTAAGACCACACCTCCGGGTCGACCTCGTAGCTCCAGCCCGTCCAGCGTTACGGCGCCGCCGCCGACTAGTGGCTCTAGAGACTGAGCAAGTAGATGTATGGGATCAGCGCGCAGCGGCGCTTGATAGTCTTGCGAACAAGATGCGTGATGGACGGGTACATCTACGGCTCGATGACGTCGCCCACGCTGTTATCGCTGCCCGTCTTAAAGCAGTTGATGACGAAGCGCGGCGAGTAGATGCGCGGCTGCACCCAGCGCAACAGCACGGGCGACGGCTGCGGGCCCTCGCCCGCCAATTTCGTGCCCGTAGCAGTGCAGCAGGCTGAGGCCAGCGTTAAGCGAAAGCCTATTGGCCCCTTTCACACCCGGCTAGCTGGTCGTGTTGTCGCCCGACCACGTGCTGCAGACGTACCGCATGGCTCCGGCCGTCGCGCTGCGCATGAGCACAAACGGCCGCTCGTCCGGGTTGACCTCGAGGAGCGCGTCGTGCGACGCCTTAGCATGTTGCTCCGTGTGCAGGCTGCGGCCCCAGAGGCCGACCTACGGTCGCTTCTCGAGGTCAGAGGGCACGTCGAGCGACTCTTGGTCGAGGGCGCACTCCCAGTCGTCAGACGTGACCGTGTACTCGTTGTTGTCGTTCCACATGCAGTCGATGCCCTACTTGGCGAGCTTCTTAACACCCTCGTACCACCAGTTGAAGCCGGCCTCGGACGTAAAGTCGTGTGGCCGCCATCGTCGCTCTCGCCACCGTCCGCACTCCACAGCCATTTTGGCGGCAAGCACACACACACAAGTTTATTACGCCTGGTGGCTAGTGGGCCAATAAGGCACTCTCTGCTATGTACATGGTCTCTTCCTTCGGGATGTCTCAAGGTCTCAAAAGCCCATACTGTCTTCCTACCGCTCTTGCCTTGTGCGTTTCCATCTCTTCGCTGGGGTCTCGTGGGTTTAGTTATATTAGCAGGCAGACTTGAAGGCGATTCTCCAAGTGTCCAGAGTCTTTCTTATCTACGGCGACTGAAGCGGCGCTTGCTGTTTGTGGTACGAGGGTGGGGTTAATAAGATGGGCGACGTGTTGGGCCTAGTTCTGGGATCACGTATTGTCTAGTCGGCCTGTTGCCTTCGTAAATCGTATTGCTGCCCGACCCGCTTTCATGTCCGGCTTCCAGTTTAGTCCATCAGACCCTATTCCCCCTAAGGTAAAATGGTATGTTGTCTCTTTATGTGTCGGTGCATTGAAGGATCTCGGTGCGTTGCGTCGTCCATTGCGCACATCTGAGCAGAAAGTGCTCTGCTGTCTCTGTTGCTTGACCGCATGCGCTTTGATCTGAGGGCATCGCTTTGATCCGGAAGAGTGACTCATTCAGTTTCGACATGCCTGTCCTCAACTGAGTCAGGATGCTCGCCTCCATCCAGGTACATTTGTCGTATAGTTCTCGTGTGTGCTTGCCGGGAAGCGCTGTGTCAATCTTCTTGGAGAGCTTCCCGACGTTGTCCGGCAGGTTCCTCTCCGGGCGTAGCTTTGCTTTTGCTGTGCCGAGGACCGTGGATCGCATCTTCGGGAATTGCTCTGGGGGCGTGGCGTCCTGTCGGCTTGCGTTCCTCGCTTCCTGTTTGGCTGCCTTCAATAGACAGTCCTCGAGACTTGTGGCAGGCCAGATGGCAGACACTGTGTTCCCATCTTCCTGCAGTCGTTCGGTGGCCTCGTAGACGCATCGTACATACTCCTGCCCCGATTGTTGGCCGGGGTTCCGGAGAGTAGCACCGCAGCTTTGTTGCTTGTTGAGAGGATAACCTTCCGGTTGCTGAATCTCGGTAAGACCGTCGGAATTTGCGTATCCGCTTGGTCAATTTCCTGAGCGGGTTCGTCTCCTGCAGAGTGTGGAGGTCCAGGGCTCCCTTCCTGGATGCTGTAGATCCGGGGTGGATGGAAACTGTATTGAGCATCATTGATGGGCTCGTTGAGAGTGGCCATGTGTCTGCTCAGTTTCGCCGCGAAGAGGTTGAGCGTCTCCACGACATGTTGAGGCACGTGACAACCCCGGACCTGGGGGAATCTTCTGGTGTCCCGGGGGAGGACATGATCCAGCATTAGGGTGATCATGTTATTGACATTATTGAGGGGTTGCAGTCACCGACATGCTGTCGGTTGCTGAGCTCATGGGTCGCTACCCGGTGGTAGAGATGGATGCCGGCCTGCTGGAGGGTGACTGGTTGTGGGAGGATAACTTTGCCAACTGGCCGGGAATGGCACTTCCCAGGACATCTAAGTCGACACCCCAAGCAGAGTAGTCGCATTTTTGTCTCTGACCGAAAGGATCTTCACAGACTTGGAGTGGCCATGGCATGACATGAGGGTGGAATGAACAAGATTCTCTTTCATCATTTCGACTGTCAAAATCAGGCCTATTGAATCGTGTGAAAAGCTGTCGACTCTCTATGGATCCGCTGACGATGCTCGACTACTTCTTCATCTTGCGAATCATCTTAGTCCAGAAACTCTCCTTCCACTGCTGCTCCACGGCAGTTTCCGTCTCCTGGTACTCTCTGCGTCCCGTGACGAGATCCATGTCGCCAGCTGTCACCTTCTTGGTCCGCCTCCATAACTTCCAGATGATGGTGTTGGCAGTGAAGATGACAACACCCACGTATTTGAGGATGAACTGGTCGACCTTAAAGTGCGGGATGAATGCGTCGTACCCGCTAAAGAGAATGACCATGCACGACATGAACAGGGCGTAGTACGAACCCCACGGCTGTCCGAAGGCTGTGTAGGGAAGGTCCTTGGCGGAGATGCCCTGGGCCTTGAGGGCTCGGCGAAAGGAGATGTGAGAGACCAGGATAGCCATCCAGTTGAGGACAGCGAAGATGGTGACGAGGCTGACGAGGTACTGGAAGACGGTGCCGGCGGACTTGCTGGCGTTTAGGAAGCCGAGGCCCACACAGAGGCACGACAAACCCACGGCCCAGACCGGGTTACCGTTACCCCGGGTCTTTGCAAAGATCTTGGGTGCTTGACTGTCTCGGGCAAGGCCGTATAAGGACCTTGACGCGCAGTAGATATCTTTCGAGGACAAGAGGTCAGTTACAGCCGGACACGAATGTCGGATGAGGGAGCCTTACCTGTGCAAGCTGCGCTCAAGGTAAATACGAGGAGCGAGGCGTTGACGAAATCGGGGAACACCGCGATGCCGGCCAGGCGAACGGCAACAACGAATGGCGAAGCATCTGGTTCGGTGGTCAGTTGTGTACGCTGAGACTCGAAGCTTAGGTAGATAACGTACCAGCACTGGTAGACTTCTTGGTAGCTCCGATCAGCATCTCGTTGTCGCTCGGGACGGCCATGCCGAGAACAATAACGCTGAGGATGTAGAAAACGGCAATCCTCCAGAAGGTCTGCTTGACGGCCCTGGGGATGTTCTTCCTCGGGTTCGGTGTCTCGCCAAAGGTCATGCCCACGACCTCTGTACCGGTGAAGGCAAAGCAAGCCTGGCAGATGCAGGCCCAGACACCCAGAAACCTTCCAAGAGAGCCCTTGAGGAGGTATTCCTTGAATGCGCCGGGCTCGTTCCAGTACTCGAAGCCGCTCCTCTTGTGGTTGGGGCCACCGCCGAGCGCCACAACGAGGCACGAGATGATCATAGTGATCATAATGAGAATCTTGGCGCAGCCGAACCAGAATTCGGTCTCGCCGAGCGTGGAAACGTGAAGAAACTGCCGGACGAGTGTTAGGAAAAATTTGGGGATGGACAGTTTATCGGTGTTACATACGTTGATGAAGATGATGAGGACTCCAAAGACGGCGACCCAGATGCCGACATTAAGATCGGGCCTCCAGTATCGAATGACGAGGCCGGCGGCCGTGAGGTTCGCAGGGGTTGCAATCATGTATTTGAAGAAGTAGTTCCAGCCGGTCGCGAATCTGTCATCCAGTGATTAGGATGCGGTGGCGATGCCAGTGGGGGAGAAAATGCACACCCAAACGCAGGGTCGACCATGCGGCTGGCGTAACCGCCGAAACCCTTGTTCATGGGAAGGAAGGCGGCCATCTCGCCGAGTCCGGTCATGACGAAGAAGACAACACCGCCGACCACGAGGTAGGCGATGAGGAGACTTCCAGGGCCGCCTCTCGAGAGCGCGGTTCCCGAGCCGATGACGAGTCCTGTACCAATGGCGCAGGCAATGGAGAACATGAAGACCTGGCGGGGCTTGAACTCGCGCTTCAGCTGGTTCTGGTCAGCGACCTCCCCGGCCTCCGTCGACATGGCGGGCTCGGGATCATTCTGCTCCAGCTTCTCGACGTCGGCGAAGGTCGCCATCTTGCGCTGGGTGCTGGATGTTGCAAGGTATGGAAGATGTCGGCTAGGCACAATCGTAATCGCAGACGAGTAGTGAGCGAGTCGAATTTGGCTTGAGAAGAAGAGCTGATGGCCGACTTCTCTGTCTCATGGCGCCGTCTTTATTCAAGCTCGCGTGGCCATGGACTACAACGTGGAGGTTTATCTATATGTATCTCCACCAGCGATAGCTGAATCTAGAGTCGTGCCTACCTGCCTCGCTCATCCGGGGTCGGTGCCAGCATCCGAACCAGCAATCAGTTTAGCATCGTGCCATGATACAGTACGCTCCGGGCGTTCAAACCCCACAAGCTTCCCCAGGTTCTGACTGGAACCTTGGAGCTAGATTTGATTCCGACCGGCCACGAAAGATACTGTCCTGGTTCAGGGAACAAGCTCGGTGTTGCGAGTTCAGGCGTCGTTGTGGGGAGGGGAAGACAGTCCTTCGGATGTGCATGCCGAGGTGGCGAGATTGCGGGAGCAACATCCGTGGAGCGATCGGGGACCCGTACATACTTAGTTACGGGGACAGTCACCGAGCTGAAGGTGTGATGGAAAGAAGAATCATTTGGTCGACATCGAGGCTCTGCACGCGCGCGCAATATCTGAATTGGGCCGGTTTCTGGGCTTGCCTCCGGGCCTGAGGTTGGTTCATCATGAACGTGACGCACTAGTCATTACGCAGCATAGTAACGAGTATCGGCTAATACTACGGAGCTAGCGACAAAGATAAACTAAGAAATCTCTTTATATCTTACCTAGAGACCTTCATAATAGCTCTACGACCGTATAGATCGCGTAGGCTTTTCGAGCTACTATAAGGGCTCCGTTTCGATCACGAGGTTCACCTTTTAAACGATTTCCCGTCCGGAGGAAGATAGTCCTTACGAGTAGCGATTCCTATCCTAGGCCTGGAAGCCGATCTACCACCTTCCTCCTCTCTACCGCAATCAGCACGAAGGCCTCCGACTATAACGCAGGCCGAATTTCATTCCGCCCTGAAGCTAGTCCAAGAGGTTATTGGGACCGATCGGAAGCTGACCCTTGAGCTTGCTCAGTCATACGCACCACCAACGCACGTCGAGGCTAGTTTAGTGCTCGGTGGCGTGCACTAGTAGTTTCTTGGTAAGACAAACATTTGACACATGCCCCGCTCCGAGTCTGGTTGGCCCCGACCCGGGACCAGAAGTGTCTTCCGGTTGTGTCATTGAGATATCTCCGGAGCCTTAAAAGAACGGACGAATTGGAAACGGATTTGTCTGTTGTGCTTTCTGAACAGCGACTGGAAGTCGGGCCACGTCCTTTGTGTTCATCCGGGTCTTCCAGCTAAAGGACCTGCGCCTGAATCCCCCAAATATCACAATGACGACTACCTCGGTCAGCCATGCTGGCTTCGGGCCGGCATACTCGGCTGTTCCTGATGAAGGGCGGGTGCGTGAAGCCTGTCTTGGCATCGATCCGAATGGTTTCACCATAAGGCACCCGCCCGCTCCTCACCAACTCTCCGACTTCATCACACCCGAGGATCAATTGTTCCAGACAATCCATATGGGCGCTGCCGTAGTCAACGTTGACAAATGGATCCTCGTCATCGACGGCCTGGTCCAGCACCCTTTCGCCCTGACATTCGGCCAATTACGAAGCCTACCCTCCTCTTCCATCACTTCTTTCCATGAATGTTACGGCAGCCCGATAAAGCCTCCCACGGAAGCACTGTGGCGCATTGGTAACATCACCTGGACCGGCATCCGTCTGTCATACCTTCTTCAACTTGCCCAACCCCTGGAAAATGCACGGTTCGTGTGGTCGGATGGACTGGATCACGGAACATTCGCCGGGATCACCTCAGATCGATATCAAAAAGACCTCCTTCTATCGAAAGCGCTGGAACCCGAGGTACTAGTAGCATTCGCAATGAATGGCCAACCTCTGGGTAAGGAAAGGGGCGGACCTGTGCGACTCGTGGTACCAGGTTGGTTTGGCACCAACTCGACAAAATGGCTTTGCCGGTTGACTCTGCAAGACAAGAGAGCCTCCGGGCCGTACACCACGACGTTCTACAACGAGATCGACCCAGGGGATACACTAAAACAAAAGACACGACCAGTTTGGGCCGTCGAAGTGAACTCCATGATCGTGTCACCAGCGCCAGACACGGTGGTCCATCAGTCCAAGGTGGCGATCGAAGGGTGGGCATGGTGCCATGAGCCTGTAACGAAGGTCTACGTGAAGCGGGCTGGAGAGCAGCAGTGGGCCGAAGCAATTGTGGCAAAAAGAGACGGCTACAGCTGGCAGAAGTGGGGAGCTTCGTTGATGCTGCCCAACGGGGAGCATACCTTAGTGGCTCGGGCGGTATCGTGTTCCGGCGAGGAACAGCCACTGATGGGGCGGAGGAATCACGTACATCAGATAAAAATAATGGTTTCGAGCAATTCTTAAGTCTCACCCGACACTTTTAATACAAAAATCTCCCCGTAGTGAAGTGTGTTCAGCCGGATCATCAACCAATCACAATTTTCAAGGCCGAGGAGATTCTACGTAGTCCCTCGTCCAGGTCTCGCCGAGCGAGGGAGTAGACCAGCCGGAACCAACCTGGTTTCTCGGCTCCAAATTGTTCACCCGCGGCAAGAAGAACCTTCTGATTCAAAAGCGCCTTCGCCAACACTGCGAAAGCGTCCTCCGCAGTCTTTTTAGGGTGGAGCGCCCTGTATGCCGTTCCCAGATCGACCCAGACGAAAAAGGCAGCACTGCTTCCGGGTGCTATAGGGGCCTGATGGGCTTTCGCCCATCCAAATACCAAAGCGAAGTGCTCGGCCAGCCTCAGATGATTGTCCCTTATATATGCGTCGACCCAGGCGGTATCCTCGAGGAAGTTGGCAACGGTTGCTTCGGCGAGGGACGCCGCCGAACTGTGAATCGAGGAGAAGGCGATGGCCTCATGAAGATCTCGGTTGTGCTGAGATATTACGGCTCCAACACGGAGTCCATTGGCCCCGAAGTCCTTAGACGTTCCCCAAACAACATGTACAAGCGAAGGGTCGATGATATCCGTGGTGTTGATGGACAGACAAGAGTAGAAACGCTCCCCTTGACCCCAGACGGAAAGAGCGTAAATCTCATCGCTGACGAGGTGGATTTGGTACTTCTGACAGAGTTTCATCAGCCTCACGATGGTATCTCGGGGATAACACCGGCCAAGGGGGTTGTGTGGATTGCAGAGGATGAGGCCCTTGACTTTTTGGCCCTTGTCCCGCGCCCTGAGCAGAGCTTCCTCATACTTTCCCACCGCCTCCGGTCCGAATGGGTCAACGTCTCCAAATGACACTGCTGCGGTGTTGACAAGCATTCTACCACCAAGAGTCGTGAAGAAGGCCCGGAAATAAGGCTTGCCCAGAAGGAATGCCTCGCCAGGATCTGCGATAGTCCAAGCGAGCTGCTCAACGGCAGAACAACAGCCATTTGTAATGGTGATATGGCCCGCTTCAATGGCGAGGACCGGTTGAAGCCGCCTCGTAAGAAACACGGACATGACGGATTTGAGTCTATTGGATCCGGTGGTGCCGTCGCCGTACGTTAACATGTGAGACGTGGCCTCAAAGCCGCTGAGGAGGCGAGCCAGCAGACGGGAATGCATCAAACAATTCTCGGCCATTGCGAGGCTCACAAATCCCGAAGGGTTGTCGTCGGGATGCCACAGATTCTTCATGACATCCCACAGGAGTGTGCTGCCGTTGCTCGAGGCAGCATCACGACCGCGGATTGACAGAGATGTCATGGCATGAAGATGATGTTGCGTTGCCGAGTTAAGCAAGAAAGAGTCCAATGTTGACAGAGCCAGAGATAGGGTCCGACTGTTGAAACCTCTGGCTGGAAAAAAAGGAGAAGAGAAAAGCCATGGAACAGATCCTCTGTTGCTGGCCGTGTCAGGTTCTTAGATCTGGTCCCGAGTGTTCATGCCCTACAGTACAGTGTGGACCTTTACGAGAGATTAATCGCGGTAATTATTTATCGAGAGTCATCTGATATTACTCAGCCACACTCCGGGTAATTTTGACTTTTAGCTAGTGAATACTACCGCCATTCGGGATAGTAGGAGGCTCGGTGGCTAGAAAAACGACCGACCGGGCGACTCCACTGGAATAACAACTTGTGGTTGTGCTGGGTCATAAATTCGGCACAAATCCCCCCAGGGTTGACCACTCTTCTATTACACCGATCCCGAATCATGGCGCAAACTACCCGAGTAGCCGCCTGCCACGTCGCACCTGTCTTTTTATCCGCTCGAGAAACGACGGCGAAGGCCGTCGCCTTGATCAAGTAAGCCGCTCGTCGCGGAGCCAATGTGGTCGTCTTCCCTAAACATTCATCGCCGCATTCCCCATATGGAGTGCGTTACGTGCACCTACAGAGAATCATGAATTTTTCAAACGCATGGCTCTCGAATCCGTGTACGTCGACGGAGACGAGATGAAATCTGTGTAGGCTGCCGCTAAGGCGTCGGGGGTCATAGTCAGCATCGGCTTTTCGGAGAAGGCTCGCAACAGCACTGCGACGCTCTTCAACTCAAACATCTTGATCGACGAGCAGGGTAGGGTGCTAAATCACCACCGAAAACTGGTAGCGACCTTTTTCGAGAAGCTGACCTGGGCGGCCGGTGACGGCTACGGGCTGCATGTCGCGGAGACGCAGTTCGGCAAGATTGGCGCTCTGATTTGCGGTGAAAACACGAACCCACTCGCAAGATATGCTCTCATGGCTCAGGGCGAGCAGATTCATCTCTCGACGTGGCCCGCTGTTTGGCCAACACGACTGCCGAAAGATACCGCGGCTCACGGCAAGGCGAATTATGACAACGTTGCCGCCAACCGAACACGCGCTGCGGCTCATTGTTTCGAGGCCAAGTGTTTCGGAGTACTTTGCGCTGGTGTCTTGGGTGATGATGCCGTCCAAGCCATAGCGGACGGAGCACCGCATCTTAAAGATCTGCTTGAGCGGACCCAGCGTGGGGTCACCATGTTCTTGGATCCGACAGGGGCACCGCTACCCTCATTCGTGATCTCGAGATCCAACGCTGTCGAAGCAATCCCAAACCCACAAATTCCCGGCGATCCAGCCCCGTCGGTTGACGCGCTCTTTTCTAGGGTCAACAGGTTTGCGAAAACTCATGGCTTCGGTGTTATCAAGGCCAATGGTGTGATTCGACCTGGACATCGAAGTCGATACGTCTTTCAATGTGATCGATACGGGGCTCAACGACCGGGAAGGGGTGCTGGTCTTCGGAAACGAAGATCTCGGAAGTCGGGGTGCCTGTGGAAGATTGTTGCTGAGACCTTGCCAGAGAACGGTTTCCAGTGGACTCTCCAGCACTTTCCAAATACAGAACATCACCACCACAACCATAACCCTAGTCCCGATGCCGCTGCCCACCCAGTTCATCGACGACTTATTAGCCCTGTGAAGACGGTCGTCCGGAGCTCAAGTCGACGGATTGGCATTCGTGCGCGAGACATTGGTGGCATCGTCCGAGATCACTTCCCAGATTCGGTTTACACCCAGAGAGATATCTACAACGCCAGAGCTCGGATTAGCAGAGAAAATCTGGGTGGATACAGCTCTACAGCTGCATTGATCAAATTGTTCGACAATAAGGAGATCCCTTACGTTGTCGAGTGGGCCAGCGACGAACCCAACCGCGTATTGGGGTTGGTTTGGACGTTTCCATACTGTTTCTAGATGTGGAGACGTTTCCCTGAGGTCCTCAGTTTCGACAACACGTACAACACGAACCGCTTCAAGTTGCCGCTCTTCCAAGTTACGGGACAGACTTGCTTAGGTACAGTCTTTAACGCCGCATTCGGGTTGATCGACAATGAGAGGCTTGAAGGATTTCCGTTCCTTGCAAGGGGTGTCCGCACGCTCCTCGACCGATACAGCATCCGACCGCCCGACGTTATTATTACCGACTTTGACGACCAGATGAAGAAGGCGCTAGGGGTTGAGTTTCCAGACGCCCAGTAGTAGCTTTGCATCCACCATATCAACTTCAATGTAATGCTGTAGTCCAAGCGGAAGTGGGTGTATACCACGAGGGACAGCGCTGGCGAAGAGAGCAGCTCGGATGAGCCCGATGCTACCCTCAACCAGCGCGATCGACAGGCAGTGCGGGCATCTGGAAGCCAAGAACAGCCAATCACACACGACAACTTGCCTCGGCCGATAACCCACGATTACCATGGAGTGCTGACGTTGTGGAGGCTGGTGGTGTTTGCAGAGACGGAACAGGATCACGAGAAGGCCTGGAAGTCCCTCTGTAAGCAATTCGGCGACCAGAGAGCGATCCTCGCGTATCTACATGGTACGTACATACCTGTGAGGGCGCAGTGGGCCCCCTGCTTCATCCGAAAGTACCGAAACTTCGGCATTCGAGTGACCTCCGGCACAGAGGCCAGCAACAACAATATCAAGAGCTATCTGCTGAACGGCATGAGTCATTTGTATCGGCTGGTCGAGGCAATCCAGGGTATGCTGGACGATCAGGAGAGGGAGTTTCGTCAAGCTTGTGCCCAGGATGAGGTATTAACGGCGCGGGAGCACGTTGGGCGTGGCTCAGAGTACCTGGGCGAGCTTCCTAGGATGGTGTCTCAGAAAGCACTTGCTTTGATTACGAGGGAGTATCGCAAGGCTTTGAAAGGCGCCCCAACCGCGGCAAATCCGTGGCCTGATGCCCCAAGACCGTGTGACGACGATTGCACCGTGTCTGTTGAGCTTGGCATCCCCTGTCTTCATACCATCTACGGGAAGCTTATCAGCGCAACGCCTCTAACCAAGTGGGATATCCATCCACGGTGGCACCTGCGAGAGCCTGTGGGCGAAGACGTACATCGTCGGATCTTAGACCCAAAAATCGCTACCAGTATTCGAGGGCTTGGACGGCCCAAAAACGGACCCCAGCCTTTGCCTGCGAGTATGGCAGTTGTGACCCGCAGTCAAGCCCGGCGCCACCAGGTTCCAGACAGCCGCTCCCAAGGCTCTCCTGCCCCCACAGCGCGTAGGAGGAAGGAAGGCGCGTCCGAGCTGGCGACAACCCTGCCATATGCCATGAGCGAGCTCATCTCCTCGAACGGCGACTGCGCGCCCACGACCATGTGAGCCCGCCTGACCTGTTGCAGCCGGGGAAGCTGATCTGTTCGCAGGCGCTGATCTATGCCGAGAACGCCGTGCCGCCTGGCAGGAAGTGCGTACTCGAGGAAGAGCAGCCGCTGGACGTACACCATCCCAGCAAGGTGCGGCGTATACGACTTTGCCGGGAGGAACCTAGCGCAGTCCTTAGCAAATCCTAGAATACCGCTGAAATAGACAAGCAGAGTGGATGCCGGCCGGCCGTCGGTGACCTCTTCCGTGCAGAACGCCATAATGAGGCCAAAGAGTCGCTCAAGCATGTCGGCGGCGGCCGGGTGCAGCCGGATCTTAGCTGGAGTCGGAGCTTCGTCGATTGGTTCAGCGTCGTCATCGCTTTCGTCTTCGCTGTATACCCCGTCCAGGCCATCGCCTATGCTGCCCTCCAACCAGCCTTCCTCCTTAGATAAGTCGTCGTCAGACTCCTCTTCCACGCCGTCTGCTTCGTCTTCCCGGCCCTGGCCCCAGAACCATGCGGACGTCACATGATCCTGTGCCCAGACGTCGTGCTCCCACACGGCGCTGATAAGATCCTCTTGCTCTTTTAGCCGGATACGTGCGGCCCTGCAGCGCGCACGCGTAGGCATTCGAGACGCGCGGAACACCATAGCAACGAAGCGCTTTAGGACCGAAAAATACTTCGCCCGACTAGAGGCCCGGCTGACAACCGTAAAGGGCTTGGAGTAGGGCGCATTCCACTTCACGCTCCGCAGCCAGCAGAGCAGGTTTCTGCCTGTCGTGCGGGCAGTGTGCCGCACCTCTCTAAGATGCTCACCACAGCCATTGCGATCACGGCAATCTTCCACTCATCGTCGGCCGTGCTTATCATATCGTGCTCTAGTCGCGCCCTGCCTTCTCCCGTCCCGGCGCAGCCCATGACGAGCGCGCGCTGCGCCGTGGCCTTGGGTGGCATCGACGCCAGCGCCCACAGGAGCGGCCGGTGCACCTCCCCGTACGTCGACTCCCACCTCGTCCGGTCGAGCCAGGGGCGGGCCTCCGGGTATGCCGGGTCTCCACCGAGCGTTGCCGTTGCCCCGGCAGCCGCCATGGCCTGGCTGCGCTCGTTTTCTCTGAGCCGCAGGCCCTCGAGGTGGTCGAGCGCCTGCCGGCCGTCGACCGGACGAGTATCGTCCCCGTCTTTGCAGACGACCCAGTAATGTCTCTTTGGCGGGTTACGCATCCACGCCTGCAGGTAGACGGGCTTGAACATGGCCTCCGGCTTGACGCCTAGGTTCCTCTGCTGCTCTTCGTGGCACTCGCTGGTGTGGCGCGATTAGTTCTGCTTGCTGATCGTCCGGTAGTCGCAGAACTTGCAGGCGAAGCCATCGAGCGTCCGGAGGCGAGGGTCGCGTATCGCACCGTCGGCCCGCACGCCGGTAGACGCGGGATCTTGTATTTTTGGCGTGCTCTGGCCCAGGAGCTTCCCAATCTGGCCTCGCACCTCTGCTGGTATATCGTGCTTGCGCTTGAGGTGGTCGCTGACTCGAGACGGCACAAGGCCGGTGAGACACTCGGCGCGGTAGCGGATGACGACCCGCGCCGTGGGGTCGATACTAAGCTGCTGTGAGCGCAGGAAGGTGTCTTGTGGTTCCATGGCGTACTCTAAGGCTGTACGGACGTCGCGGCTCGTGGCTACGATTAGAGTTCCCGCGCCGCAGTTGCGCCATGATGGTCAACCGCGGCGCGCCTTCTTCGCGGCCAACATCACAACACTTTACGCGTCGTGCAAAAGCAACGTCGTCGTGACACGGGCCACAAAATCGTGTATCAGGGACGGTCGATGGCCGACGGGAGGTAGACGTGCAAGGGCCAGATTTCCGTGTATCAGGAACGAGCCGCCAGACGACGGACATGGGCCAGGCGACGGGATTTGGGTGGCGCACGGGCCGCAAATTCGTGTATCAGGACCTGATACATGAGGGTATTGGTACAGTAGGAGCTGACTTCTCCTGCTTCGACGGGTCGTAGAGAGGTGATTGCTCTCCTGGAGGATGTTGGTAATGGCCCTTGGCCGGTTGTCGTCAATGGCGAAACGTCGCGTCGATTGACTGTTGAACTGCAGCGTTGATCCACCTGTAGACGGCTCCGCAGCAAGCGTACTGGCCGTGGTCCCGATCTGGGACCTAGGCGCCCTGCTGTAGGTATCGAAGGTCAAGGAGCTGGATCGTCGCCTGGGCTCATAACTGTCGCCGATTCCATTACGCCAAAAGGCGGGCCCCACCGTACTGGCAGGAATTCTTATCGGACTGTGTGTGACATCTGACAACAGACGCCTCGGCCACAGCTCGCCAATCTGCGGTCAGGCCATTGATTCGGTTTCCGTTGGTCAACGCCGTCATGACAGCTGCCCGACGGAGGTTCGTCCCGTGGCCAGACGCAGCGGTGTCGGGAGGTTGTTTGACAAGATCGGTGTCATCTACATCGAGTCAGGGCGGCAATCAACCCGACGGAACAGGGCTCGGTTGGACCGAAACCTTGACTTATGTCTCCTCCTCTTCAATAGCAATACCAAATCTCTCATTCGCCAGTTCCTGGATCCATCAGCTCCGCCGGCCTAAGAGCACCACCGGCAATACTTTATCCACATCCCCACACGCCCCCTCGTCGCGCGTTTCCTTACACTAGTTCAGCGGCAGCTTGCAAGTAAAGCAGCACGCCAAGCGCCCAAACCGTTACGGTCGCACATTACCACATGGGTGACATAACCCTTTTGGGAAGCCACAACCATGTTGAAATACTTAGTAATTTCGAGCCCCCTTGCAAGGCCACAGTACCACACACTATCCCGAAGGTATCTCTTCATTTGATGGCATCTCCACCAGGGTTGATGTCGTGATAATTCCTGGCCAGGCGTCACAATTCTTCCACTCCCACATCCAGACCATTGTCATCTTACAGTTATTATGGCCTATCCTCGCCTATTCCCTAAGTAAGCTCAGGCCCATCTATCATGGGATTATATGACTGACCGTTTGTACATAGATATGCCAGATCACGTCCTACCGCAAACATGTCCCGATGTTCCGAAGACCGTGGCCCCTAAACCGTACCAAAAGAGTCACGATTTCATCCGCGATAGCCACCCGGGCTCGAATCTGTGTCCATACTGCGGAAGACGTTGGCCCACGAGTATCTCCATCCTCGATGGTTCGCCAGTCCCGTTTCGAGAGGTTGAGACAGCTTCCACCTCTTCCGCTATACAGTCTATCGACCTAACAACCTCCGAACGTTCCACACCGTCACAAACGATCTTCACCGGCTCCGGAGACGGCCCTAGCCGTATCCTCGCATCAACGCGGCCTTCCGACGTGTATCGAGATGCCAAACTTACCCAGAGTCGGATCGCGAGGGGCATGAGGGCGAGCTCGTCGCAACTCAGTGAGGCTGTGGCTAAACAGAGCCAAAACAAGAGCAGACGGAAGATCTCGATGCGTCTCACGGTCTTCCTTGCGAGACCTGGCCCATGGGAAATCCTAGACGACGACGAGCAGCCCTAGTGGTCATTGGCTAGAGAGCTGCTGAAAGTCGCTTTGCGCCCCTTTGTCGACGAAGAACCATCTGTACCTATCCGCTTCTGGTTCGACAGCATCTTCTTCCCTCAGTTCAAAGACAAGCCTGCCCTCTCCTCTGTTCTTCGATTTGACAAGAGACTCGTTCAGAACGCCCATATTAAAGAGGGTATCACGGAGCTGAGCGATCTCGACTGGGAGAGACAGACAGTCGCACAGCTTTTCGGCGAGGACTGCCCTTTTCGTTTCAGTAAAACAGAGGGCAGGTAACGTACTCCACAAGCGAGTGGAACACACAAGCGAGTGAAACACTCAACCACGACCGCACAAATAAAACCCCAGATATCTCAACCACGACGACTTGAATTAACTAAATCAATCGGTGTTATCATCATCTGATATAGCTACAATGATCTGACAGGTCCTTGAGTTATGTCCTGCCTTGCCGCATGTTCCACAGCGTCGAGGGGCCAATTCTATACCCTGCTTACGACCCCTACTCAGCTGCGTTTCCTGCTTCATCTGGACGTCTACCTCATTCTGGGCTTGAATGTCCTCTGCTTCGGCTATAGACATGCTTCCCCCTTGCCTGAGACGCTTTTTCTTCGCTCTGCGACGCTTGCTTAGGGTCTCTAGCTCCCCTCGTATGAGCTGGACCTCGGACTGTACGAGGGTGAGTTTATGCATGATACTCCGCGTTCCCTTTGCTAAGTGGTCACCGGCGCCGAGAATAGACGTTGGTGAGCTATCTTGATGACGGGCAATCCGATTTTTGATGTACTCAGACTGCGAAGTCGTCTCAATCGGATTGTTGGGCGTCCTCGAGACCCAAGGTTCGGGTATCCCTCCACTGCTCCCTGGAGGCGTTGGGGTATGTAACTTCACATCCAGCTTCGAAAGGACTGCTTCCGGGTTATGAGGAACGAGTCCAGCTCCCCTAAAGGCCCCTTGGATGTTCTTCTCCGTCATTACCTCTTGGGATGCTGTAAGAAACGCAGGGAAGAAGTCTTCCTTGGTGATATGGCTTATACCCGCCCGCATCTTCTTCTCGATTTGCCGACCGTACGCCTGCTTAAGCGGGCCAAAGCAGCCAATATCGAGAGGCTGGAGTAAATGAGATGAATGAGGCGGCATACAGAGCGCGATAATGTTGTTTTCCTTGCAGTAGGCGTCGAATTCGATCGAGTGGTGACTTTCATGTCCATCTAGAATGAGGAGTCGATGTGTGCCTGTTGTGCGAGGCCTGGTGTACTTATCGAAGTGCCGAATCCATTCCAGTCCTGTTCTATTGGTAGTCCATCCGTTTTCAGTCGTGGCGATAACCCAATCCTTTGGTAGGGATGTTTCTTCGTACCAGCTCGAGAGGTGATATTTGCCTGCGACCACGATAAACGGCGGGACGCACCAGCCTTGGGAATTAACCCCCTGGATCACTGTGACCCATTGTCGATTTCCAGGTTGTATGAGCTTCGTATTTGAGCGCCTTTCCGAGCTTGTGACGACCATTCCTGTTGAGATAACGCCCATCATAAAGCCGGTCTCATCGAAGTTGTAAATATCTGCGGCCGCAATGCCGTACTTCGCAACCACATTCCGTACAAGGCGAAACCACGCGTTTATCGCGTCTGGATCTTCACATTGGGCCCTCTTATAGTCGTATCTGCGAAAGAAACGCGTCTTTAGCTGTGGTTGTCGCTTGACGAAGTTTGAAGCCCAGTTGACTCCGACGTGTGGCGCGCCTCGGTCGGCGAGCAGCCTATTGGCCATATCTTCCACGTCACGAAGCCGGGGAGGAAATGATCGCGAATCCAGGTCCAGAATACTCTCAATAATTGTCTGCTCCTCTAAGGAAGTCAATGTCCTCGAATTCGGAGGGCTGTCGCGTCGAGAGATAGTTCCCTTCAGTCGTCGGCCTAGCGTCACATGGCTCACGCTGTAGATCTTCGCAGCGCTCCGAATGCTTAGCTTGGGATCTTTTTTGATAGCTTCGGTAGCAAGAATCAATTGAGCTTCTTTGCAAGGAGTCTCCATGTTTAATTGTGGGTAGAAAGGTGATGAAAGATAGGTGGTTGGGGAATCGCGACGGAGTGTTTCACTCGCTTGTGTGTTCCACTCGCTTGTGGAGTACGTTATCTTCTTTTCCTTGTTTTCTATGGAGCCATTGTCTCCTCGACCACAAGCCCCAGCCCCTCGTCATATCAAGACGCCGAGGTCAGCCGTGAAGCCGTTCAAAATGGAGAAGGGAATCAAGAAAGAGGCAGTCAAGACCGAGGTGAAGGTAGAGCCGGCCTTGTTAATCCGGAGCGAGTTCAACTCGCCCTCCTTGAGCCCCTCTCTGAGCCCAGTTCTACCTCCCTCGAGAGCTAGCGCAGAAGACCAGATCGAGGTTATTACTAGCGATATGGACGAGCACCGCGCGGGTCGGAAACGAGCTCGAGACTCTGTAAGCTCAGCACTCTCGGCAGAGGCAGAGGATGAGGAGCTCTCGGCTGGCCCTGCCTTCACTGCCCTTGGTCCCGCTGCTGGAACCCGAGGAGTCGATACGAGGAGGCCAAGCAGTCGGCATCATCGTAAACAGACGAGGAAATAGTAGTTACTCTAGCTCAAGGTGACCCAGGTGCCCCATCAGCTCGTCCACACTATTGATAACATCGCCAGGCAGCTCAGTTCCGGAGAGACTATTGTTAATAGGCTCAAGGTAGTTCTGCTCGAGGAGCTGAAGCTAAAGCATTGTCAGCTGGCTTTGGTGCAATGGTGATTTTGTACGCACGAATCTCTCTTGCCCTCCAACTGGACTCTCTGGCGTGCTTAGCGCTGGACTTTCCCCAGAGCCGAGATGGGCCTGAATCTTGTCTCTAAGCCGTAGGTATACCGCGAGGTGTGGTCGATTATGATCAAGCTCCCCATCCAGTTGAGCATCAAACTGAAGATCCCGGAGCTGTTGGTCACACCAATCCGTGGTTATTGGGTCAAGGAGATCGTCTATATCGATAGAATCGACAGCGGCCATCATCTGGGCAAGCCCATCTCGAGCCGCGGGCCCTAGACGGACTGCCCAGTTCTCCACCTGGCTCGTGTTGTACAGATCCATCGGGATCCCGGCGACAAGATGCTCCCTATTCCTCTGTGGCCGGATACGAAGGCCGTTCCACATCTCCGTGAAGTCTGCGACCTCTTGATGGATCATGGGTCCATAGAGAGCATATACCGCGATCTGGTGAGCAAGACGATTTGTTTGGAAGAGGCCGCTATCAATCAGCTCGTGCGAGAACGCGATCCAGCGCTGACTGACACCTTTGAGTAGCTTTTCCCACCAAGACTCGATCCGTTGGTTCGATGTGCTTGGGCCCCAGATGTGACAGGAGCTCAGTCTCGCTCCCTGCCTGTGGACTCGTTGGTCGTTATCCTCGGTGGTATACCGAAACTCTGTCTGATCAAGGTCGGCGAGAATCGCCTGGGCTCCGGCCCAAAGAGGAGTCTCGATACCATGATCCGAGCGGGTGAAAAGGGGGCGGACCCCTGAGTACGACACAGTCCGTAAAAACTGTTTGAGTGAACTGAGCGCAGTCATATTCCCCCTGCCGACATATATCCAGATGATGGCTCTCGAGTACGTGTCGATACAGGCGTAGATGGAGAAGCCGAAGTTCTTGAGCTTCTCGTACCCATCAAGAGACCACATGAAGTTAGGCCCAGGGACCTGGAAATTCTTCCGGTGCTTCCAATCGGCAAGACGCCTCTGTTCGGCGCGTTTCTTCCATTCTGGGTTCGTCTGGTACTCGCGATACAAGGTATTCTGGCCGACAAGGACGCCGGCACGGATGCGGACGTAATGGTATAGATACCCCCTGCCAAATCCTCTGATACTTGAAGACTGACGGTCGTCTTGGAGGAGGAACTCTCTGGCTATTTGAACAGCCTCCTGTCGTTCAACAGGATCTCGGAAGCGTCGCTTCATGCCGTGCTTCAGACGGTACTCCTGTACAGTCCGCTCGGAAATCTCGATGCCGCGTCGCTTGAAATCACGGACGATGGAAGTGTCGCTATATCCGTATCGGTAGAAGTAGCCTTTGATCAGCTTGATGAAGGTGTTGGGATCAATCTTTGAGCGAAGAGGAGAGTACTCCTGGGCACCCCATTCTGCTAACCTCCTTTTCAGGGTTCTGACGTAGAGTACGTGCCCATCGTCTTGGAGATGGGCACATATACACACACACAAGTTTATTACGCCTGGTGGCCTAGAGCCAATAAGGCACTATTTGCTATTGTACACGGTCGCTTCCTCTAGTCTGTCCGAATCTCCCAAGCCCATAATAGGTCATCTTTCCGCTCTTGCTTTCTCGTCTTCTGTCTTGCCGCCGGTTTCTCGTGGGGTTTAGATTGTATTGGCAAGCTGCTTGAAGGCTATTCTTCAAGTGTTCAGAGTCCTATCTACGGCGACTGAAGCGGCGCTTACTGTTGTTGACACGAGGTGTGGGTGTTAGGTTCGGTTAATAGAAGAAGGGGGGTTTTGGTGTGTTAGGCCCCCGCAAGGGATCACACGTTCTCCAGTCGGCCCGTGGCCTTCGCAAAGCGTATCGTAGCTCGGACTGCTTTCATGTCCGGCTTCCAATCATCACCATCTGATGTCGTCTTACCTCCCAAATGGAAGGAGATGTTGTCTCTTTGTGTGCCAGGGCGCATGAGTGTCTCGGCTCGTTGTGTTGCCCATCGTGTGCATCGGAGGAGAAAGTGCTCCACCGTCTCTCTCGCTTGTCCGCATGCGCATTGGGCTGAAGCTACTGCCCTGATTCGGAAAAGTGAGGCGTTCAGTCTCGCCATGCCTGTCCTGAGCTGGGCCAGCATGCTCGCCTCCATCCAGGAAAGGTTATCATATAGTTCTCGAGTGTGCTTGCCGGGTAGTGCTATGTCGACTTCCTTCGAGAGTTTTCCAACATTATCTGGTAGTCGTCTTTCCACACGTAGTTTGCGCCTTGCAGCGTTGAGGGTGGTGGATCGCATCTTTGGGAACTGTTTTTCAGGCAAGGCGCCATCTCGGCTGGCCTTGCGTGCTTCTCCTTTCGCTTTCTTCAGGAGGTCGTCGTCGAGATGGCTCGGAAGCCACACGACTGAGATGGTGTTCCCGGTTTCTCGCAGTCGGGTGATCGCCTCGTAGATGCAGCGAACGTACTCTTGTCCAGACTGTTGTTGGGGGTTTCGAAGTGTCAGCACCGCGGCTTTGTTGCTTGTCAGTAGCGTCACGGTCTGCCCCCTCAGCTGCGGCAGAAATCGCAACGCGTATGCTGCCGCTACCAGTTCTCCGGAAAATGGGTTCTGATCGGTCCTCATGCCGTGGGTGAAGGAAAACGTCTCGAGCCTCGTCCCTGGCCCCTTGACGGTTCCACCGACGCCGACCACCTCGTTTCGTGCCGAGCTGCTCACAGCGATGCGCACCGTGGCTTCCTCATCGACCCGCGTCAGTGTTGCATCCTCGTCGTTCCATTCAGTGACGGTCTGCACTCTTTCCATCCACGGCGGCAGTGTGAATGGGTTGATTGTTTCCAGGTCCTCCATTGGAATTTCGTTGAGCGAAGTTGCCAGTTGGAAAAATGGTGAGCGGTGGAAGCGCCTGAACTTCTTTATGCGAGAGGTCAGTTTTCGAAGCGGGTTGGTCTCAGGCAGTGCGTGGAGATCTGTCCATAGCTTGATGGCCCTTCTCGTGAATCGCTCTGGTGCACTGGCGATGTGAGCCTCCGCTTCTGCTACGCTTGTGGCTATCGTGACGAACGCTCCAATAATTGCCTGCGCTCCGACCTTTTGGACGCGATAGATTGCTGCTGCCGTCCGGTCTTTGCATCGGTGCCTCCAGACGTTAGAGGCATAGTCCACCACTGGGGCCACGGTGGCCGTGAATAGCTGCCGTGCTGTCGCCGGGGTCAATCCTCTCAGTCGTTTCAGCTCCATCGCAGCCTCTAGTCCCTTGGTCGCCACTCTTGCAATGTGTTCCCTGTATCTGAGTCCAATGTCCATGATCACGCCGAGGATCTTGACATGCTGTTTGGGTTTGACTGTTTGGCCCTTGATAGTGAAAGGTTCCGAATCGGACCTTTTGGCCCATCGGGTGAAGTGGATGACCGCCGTCTTGTCCGCTTCGAAAGTCGCCCCGCTTCTCTGCTCCCAGTCCAGTGCCTTCTCGATGATCGCCTCGATCCCTTTACGGTTGTCTTGCGTGGTTGGTCCAGCGACCCAGGCTGTGAAGTCGTCGACAAAGGCTATAGCTCCTCCATAGCAGTTGATCTTCTGTTGTACAAGGTCGGCGTTGAAGAACAGAAACAGGATCGGTGACAGTGGCGATCCTTGCGGTAGTCCAGCCTGAGGCAGGGTCCGGACCTCTGATGCTTGGCCGTTGACCTGAATTGTCGCCGTCCGATCGGAGCAGAATGCCTCTACCCAACGGAGCAAATCTTCTGGGAGGCCCCTCGCTCTCATTCTCTGAATGAGTCTCTCTTTGCATACTCCATTGTATGCTCCCTTCACATCGAAGCTCACGAGGCTGACCACCCAACGATTTCTCCATGCTGCGTAGATTTGTTCTTGCAGCAACACCAACGCTTGTTCTGCTGACCTCTGTTTGCGGGCCCCGAAGTGGTTCGTGGGCAACAGCCCATGGGTTTCGACTGCATGGGATATCCTCTCCGCAACAACCGACTCGAGAACCTTGCCGAGCGTGGCGAGGAGCGAGATGGGCCTCCAAGCCTTGGCGATGGTGTAGTCTCCTTTGCCGGGCTTCTTGAGCGGGATGATCTTGGCATGCCTCCATTGGTCGGGGAGTACTCCTTCCTCTAGCGATGCGCGGAAAATCGCAAGGACACTGTGCTTGACGGCTGGCCAAATCTGTTTCCAGACCATCGCCGGCAACCCGTCCTCACCGGGTGCTTTCCACGATTTCGTCGCGAAAAGCCGGCGCTCGACTTCTTCCATCGTGATGTCAGGCATGGTGACAGCCGATTCGCGCTGCGGCCTCTCACCCTCCTCTTCGATGTGCTCTGGTGGGGGCGGGAAGAAAGTCGTAAGCAATTCTTCCGCTTGCTCTTTGCCGTTGGTCGTCCGTGTGCCATCAGCCTTTACAAGCTGCGGCACCTTGCCGAATGCCGCGTCGTCGCCCGACTTGAGATACTTGGCGGCCTTCCAGATGTTGTCGTTGTCGGCCAGAAAGTCGTTCCAATGGGTTTTCTTCTGTTGTCGAATGGCACCGTGGTATTGTTTCGCTGCTCCCTTGGCCGTGTTCTCCAGTGCTTCATCGTTCCGTCCTGCCCGTCTCGCTGCCCTCGCCCGGTTCCTCCAATGTGTGTGGATGTGGCGGAGCTGCGTAAGATCCGCCGTCCACCACCGCTTCGCGTGTGGCGATGGTTTGGCTTTTGGTGTCAAGGCCTGTACTGCTTCCAGCACCACTGACATGAGTCTGTCCGTCTTCTCTTGGACCGTGCCTTCCATCGGGGCTGTCTCGAGTGCAGTGGAAATTCGAGTGTTGATTTCATTCCATGGCGCGTTCTTGTACAGAGGTCGGTCCTGGATTTTCGGGGCCGGCACTGATACATCAAAAATCGTTTCGATGGTGCGGTGGTCCGACCCGTGCTCTGTTCCGTTCGTCGTACACTTGATCATGGCCGCAGCTAGGTCTTCTGATACCAGCACCAGGTCGATTGTCGACTCGTGGTCCCCGCCTTGCCAAGTCTTCGTGCCCCTCGGGAGCATGCTGCAGAGGGAGAGCTCGTTCATCAGGTCGATGATGTTGTCGGCTTCACCCTGTCGTACCGGAGACACGTCGTCTCCTCCCCATAGTTGATCGTGGCGATTGAAGTCGCCCGCAATGACCACGTCCACCACCTCTCCTGCGGCTCTCCTGGCGTCCGCGACCGCTCTACGTATGGTGTTGCACGCTTCCTGTAATGCCTGGGTGTCCATCCCCTGCACGTACACGGACACCACCAGTACCAGTTTCCCTGGAAGCCGCAACAATGCTGCTGTCATGTCCGGAGACTCTATCCGCACCTGTTCAGCCTCCAAATCCTTCCTTACCCAAAGCATGCTTCGGATCGCCCATCGTCCTTCCCCAATCGTTGGTGGGACCATCTTTGTCCATCTGTGATGTCCCATCGGCGTCGTCAACAGCCGTCCTTTGATCATCCGTGCCTGTGGTTCCTGGATCGCCAGCACCGCTACGTCCTGAATGTCCTCGTCGTTCATGAGGCTCTCGTGAACCTCGCCGCGTTTTCGCACATTGAGTTGGATCATACGGAGCGTACTACTCATTCAAAGATGGGTAGAGCTTCTTGCAGTTTCTGCTGAAAGATGCATGGGGACCTCCGCAGGGAACACACTTGAGGATAGTCTCATTGCAGGCACTGTGGTGGTGCCCCTCCTTGGCACATTTCCCGCACACCTGGGGTCGGTCGCACTGGTGAGCTTTATGGCCGCGGCCCATCTGTTGACAGTTGTAGCACTGGTCGAGGCGAGGACGAGATTCGAAGACCTTGGTCCTCCCAGATTGTCCTCCCGCATAGGCGTAGCCCTCCGCGAGTAGCCTTTCCGCGTCCGCTCTCTTCGTGAGGTACATAACCATTGAGCCGTATGCCTTCGGGACGTCCCTGTTACTTAGCCAGCCTACTTTCGCAACTTGTACGTCGTTTTCTTTGCCAATCTCCTCCGCGGCCCCACTGCGGATGGTGTTCGCCTCATCCAAGACCACCATGCGGCTCACGTAGTCGACTTTGACAGGATAGAGTTCGTCTCGCAGCATCCTAGCTCCTCGAGGCAGCTTGGCTTCCACCAGTTGTTTCACCATGGCGTGCTCCTGCTCGTTTCTGCAGGCAATTCTGATTCGAGGCTTCTTCGGGTCCTTGGTCACGGCCAGGCAACGCCACTTGGATTGGCTTTGGTCCACCCTGACCTCGCCTTCCGTAAGGGTACGAATAGCGC